TAAGATTAAAGAAATAAAATATTGAATTCAAAACCCCAAAACCCCAAAACCCCAAAACCCCATGAGGACAAATTCCTTAGTTTAATGGTATGAAGAATAATGAACTGACTTATATATTTATTTGTGGTTACTATTAAATAAATATTTCTAGAAAAATCTTTATATCTTAAGAAAATGTAGAACATCATTAGAACCTTCTAAAGAAAAGGACTTCAACAAGCAAAGAACAACCTTTTAACTGCCACTAAAAGCATGACTGCAGTTCAACAATATAACTTTGCAACTGGTATTTCTTTAAGCGATTGATTGTGTTATAGGAAAGGACATTAAGTTCGGAACTGAAGCAAGAGCTTTGATGCTTGAGGGATGTGAAATGCTCGCTGATGCTGTCCAAGTAACCCTTGGACCCAGAGGAAGAAACGTAGTTCTTGACAGAAGCTTCGGCACCCCCAAGATCACCAAGGATGGAGTTACCGTTGCTAAGGATATTGAATTTTCCAACAGATATCACAATATTGGAGCTAGTCTAGTCAAGCAAGTAGCTAGCAAAACCAATGATGAGGCTGGTGATGGAACCACTACTGCCACTATCTTAGCTAGAGCTATCTTCAAGGAGGGTTGTAAATCAGTTGCTGCTGGTATGAACCCCATGGATCTTAGAAAAGGTATCTTGATGGCTGTTGATGAAGTCGTCGCTGGACTTAAGGAGCTCTCAGTCCCTATTAAAGACAAATTAGATTATGAAAATGTTGCCACTATCTCAGCAAATGGAGACAAGAGAATCGGAGGTCTCATCTCAGGAATCTTCCACAAGCTTGGACCAAATGGAACTATTACTGTTGCTGACGGAAAGACTCTTGAAACTGAAGTTGAATATGTTGAGGGATTAAAGTGGGATAGAGGTTATATTTCACCATACTTCATTACTGACCCAAAGACTTCAAAGGTTGAATTCGAGAATGCCTTGGTTCTCCTCGCTGACAAGAAAGTTAGCTCAGTTCAATCAATCCTCCATTATCTTGAATACGCTATGCAAAATGGCAGACCACTCGTCATCGTCGCTGAAGACGTTGAAAGCGAGGCACTCGCAACTTTGGTCGTTAATAAACTAAGAGGTGGTCTTAAGGTCGCAGCCGTTAAATCACCAGGCTTTGGAGATAACAGAAGAAACACCATGCAAGATATTGCTATTGCCACAGGTGGTCAATTCATTAGCGAAGAGATTGGACTTCAACTCGAAGTTGCTGAGGTTTCAGTCCTTGGTAACGCTAAAAAGATCATCATTACTAAGGATGATATCATCATTATGGGAGGTGCAGGAACTAAAGAGGATGTTAATGAAAGAGTTGACACACTTAAGGATCAAATTGATGGAACCACATCAGAATATGATAAGGAGAAGCTCCAAGAGAGACTTGGAAGACTTACCGGTGGTGTTGCCGTTATCAAGGTAGGAGGATCATCAGAGGTCGAGGTTCAAGAATTAAAGGACAGAATTCAAGATGCTCTCTGCGCCACTAGAGCTGCTGCTGATGAGGGTATTGTCCCAGGTGGTGGAAGTGCTCTTTTATACGCAAGTAAGAGACTAGATAACTTGAAGGGAGAAACTTTTGACCAAGATGTTGGTATCAAGATCGTAAAGCACGCTTGCAAGATCCCATGCAAGACCATCTGCCAAAATGCTGGATTTGAAGGATCAATCGTTGTTGATAAACTATTGGAAGAAAATAACTTAACCAAGGGATTCGACGCCTCAAAGGGTGTTTTCTGCGATATGGTTAAACAAGGAATTATCGATCCAACCAAGGTCGTTAGAACTGCTCTAGTAGACTCATCAGGAGTAGCCTCACTAATGTTAACCACTGATGCCATGGTAGTTGAACTCCCAAAGACTGACTCACCAGGCCCAGGAGGCATGGGTGGCATGGGAGGTATGGGCGGAATGGGTGGCATGATGTGACACTCCCCAAGCTCCAATTAAATGATTTATTGATACTTTAATCTATTTAAATGTTTTTTACTTTTCATTTATTCCTCCAAGAATATAACCAAATGATTGGACGATGGGGTTTTGGGGTTTTGGGGTTTTGGGGTTTTGGGG